ACACAGATGTCTTGTTTAATATATAAGATATCTCATAAGATGAATAAATAGCTAATGATCAAGTACAGGATCAACATTGGTCCGTGAAGCAATGACACCTAGCTTGTTAAAAGAAAGAAGAGAAAAGGGTCAGATTCAAAATTCATTGGCCGCTTACAAATCATGCAATGGGGATAGCAGGTTCTAAACTAAAGTTATCTCCTATTGGTCTCTAAATAAAGAAGTCAAAACCGATGCTGCAGCACAAAATACTTCTTCATCACGAATGACTTACGCAATTGTCCTCTCTACAAGACAGCGTCATCAAATTAACGGACAAACGCTCAGTTCAAATAGGCATATTTTTAAAACACATCCATATCTGCGGGCTTTCAGAACCCGGAAATGAGTTGGACGTTCAGTCACGTATCACTGAAACATTGCTTAATCTACCGTGTTGTAGTTGATATTATTTTTTTATAGTAATTGATGATTTTAGATTGTTCTTATTAATTGACGGTTTTACATGGTTCATAGTAATTGTCGGTTTTACATGGTTCGTCGTGTTTACGCCATTAGAATGATTAAGTTGGTAGAACACTTAGTGTTTATCTGTTGTAATCAGTACACTAGATTCAAGGAAGATGTTTGCCACTGTGGGTTATACAATCCCGCCTTTGTGACCGTGGGTGACCTCGACCTCGCCGTACCGTGAATAGCGCCGGACTGGCACGCTTAGTGATTGTATTCGTAACAGGGTGGACCTGACTTAGTACATATGACATAGAACGAGGTATGTATGCAGTGATATCAGTACAGACTTTTGTTCCGATTGACTGGAACCTAGAGTATCGCAGTGGAATTAAATTAGATCGTCAGAAACATGTAGGAGTCATTGGTATTCTGTACATGAATGTAGTGTACTATACCATAAACGAAAGCAGTTAGAACTTCGCTGAGCTCGAGTATCCTATTGGACGTCAATAGTCTTTCAAAGTGTAATTTACATATGTATATTTAGTACAATATGACGGTTTGTAAGTTCAGTCAAAATTGATGTTTATTGTTCTTAAATTGTTTACAACCCCCCAACCCCCCCCCCCCCCCCCCCCCCCCCCCCCCCCCCCCCCCCCCCCCCCCAAAAAAAAAATAAATAAAAAAAAAAAAACAAAAAACAAAACGTTCAACAGCACCGCTCTCTTCAGTTCTTATGAGTGCTAGAGTTGTACATGTAGAATCCCCAGTTTTAAAAATTCAATGCAACATCATAAAGATTATTGAATACACAGATGTTTCTGTTGACTAAAGTAAAAATATAATCACCACATGGTATACAAGTTCTTACATAATTTTAAGGATTAACTTCTTAAAAATAAATTACTGACAAATGAAGAAACTGATGGATTATACAATACTGTCATCTCTTACTTTACCAGTAGGTATCTAAATATGACAACGAATCCTAAGGTTATTCATAACGTTCATAGGGTTGTTTCAGTAGAGAGTAGCTCTCAGTGTTGTTTACTCTTGTCGAACACGAGCCTGTCTATCGACTGTAGACTGATATATATACCTAAGTCCTTCGTATGACACATGTTTATTGTAACTGTTGACATGTTGACATTTGGATACGTAAATCATGTACTTTCACTATACATGTAAACAACGTCAATCCAGGTTACTCTCTCTGTCTCTGTCTCTGTCTCTCTCTCTCTCTGTCTCTCTCTCTCTCTCTCTCTCTCTCTCTCTCTCTCTCTCTCTCTCTCTCTCTCTCTCTCTCTCTCTCTCTCTCTCTCTCTCTCTCTCTCTCTCTCTCTCTCTGTCTCTCTCTATCTCCGTCTCTGTCTCTGTCTGTCTGTCTGTCTCTCTCTTGGTCGGTCTCTCTCTCTCTCTGTCTCTCTGTCTCTCTCTATCTCCGTCTCTGTCTCTGTCTGTCTCTCTCTCTCTCATGGTCGGTCTCTCTCTCTCTTTTGGTCGGTAACTCTAGCCATTGATACACTACATTATGGTCAATAACTATCGTCCTAAATCTAAGTCTTATGATAATAATAATTTTTATCAGATTGTTTGAACGTGTAGGATAGCCTACCAAAGCCAAGGGGCGAGGGAAATCCAACGTTTTAAATCTCAGTCATCCGCACAACTAAATATGTATAGACCTATTGCTTGCTATACATGGCGTGAACGGAATGTAAACGGAATGTAAACGGAATGTAAATGAAAGTTTCTTTATACAAACCATCGTCGCAATCACCGAATTCGGTGTTTGTTTGGTAACCTAAAAAATAACAGTCGTATGTATTCAATTTTGCTTTGTCGAATATACCAAATTATGTATTTTGTTTCATTTTCAACATCAGATTTACGGCGAGAAATTGTTATTTGATAAAATACTTGTACAAGTAGGTAGCTATTTCCTATGAAACCAATATTTCCAATGCCTTTCTGTGGCGATTTTGGAGCGCAGGCTGTTATAGAAAATCTGTACAAAGGCACGTAATCCAGTAGAGTTGACACGATCCGTTTATTCTGAAAATAGTGAAAGATTTCGTTGAGTTCAAATCAACAGTTGGGTGTCCAGTTCAGCATACCATCAATGCCTGCTATTATTTTGGCTTTATATATGTATAGTTTATACTCACTTCTGATCAAATATCATCATGTTTAATCTGTCCCGCGATATATTTAGTTTTGTTTGTAGTAGAAACACGCGACGTATCTTAATAACTGACTAGACACTGCTGACGAACACTATATACAGACGATAATCTAGATCTATTGACGGCTTTAAATTATCTAGAACGTGATGCTACGTCTTTCAAGCTTTTCAATACAGTGAAGTAGTATGTAATGTATTTGATATCAGAGATGTATTGTGTACACAACTGATGAACCTCTGTAACCGCACCCTTACGCCACCCCCACCCACCCTTACGCCACCCCCACCCACCCTCACGCCACCCCCACCCACCCGAACGTAACCCCCACCCACCCTCACGCCACCCCCACCCACCCGAACGTAACCCCCACCCACCCTCACGCCACCCCCACCCACCCGAACGTAACCCCCTCCCCACCTACACAAGTACCGACTCACGCCGTACTGTATATACGTCTATCATTCCCCCTATACTGCTTAGTGTGCACGTGAGAAGATACATGTATAAATCATACCACAATGTCTGTCAAGAGGACCTGACCAATGTGTAGTATTTTGGGCACCATTATTCAAAGCAGTCATTCAGAAAATATATATACATAAAAAGCAGAAGGACGGTTAACATAGCACAACGCTAAACGCCTTCTGTAAGACACAAAATGTCCTGTATATATATCAAGTTAACTTACGCTGCTATAGACCCTCAGTAAAGGATCTAAAACATATAAGCAAAATAAAGTTGTCATACTTCTGAAGTGAAGATAAAATACAAGCAAAGTTATATCATCATGTTAAATAGTGATATAGCGTCGACTGCACGTTAAACAGTGATGGTATTCACGTTCAGGATATCGAGACAAGACCTCCATCACTGATATGCGGAGTACGGTATTTCGAAACCAGATCTCTATCACTGATATTCGGAGTTCGGTATATCGATACCTGACCCCAATCCCTGATATTCGGAGTTCGGTATATCGAAACCAGACCTCTATCACTGATATTCGGAGTTCGGTATATCTAAACCAGACATCTATCACTGATGTTCGGAGTTCGGTTTATCGATACCAGACCACTATCACTGATATTCGGAGTTCGGATTATCGAAACCAGACCGCTATCACCGATATTCGGAGTTCGGTATATCTAAACCAGACATCTATCACTGATATTCGGAGTTCGATTTATCGAAACCAAACCTCCATCACTGATATTCGGAGTTCGGTTTATCGAAACCAGACCTCCATCACTGATATTCGGAGTTCGGTTTATCGATACCAGACCGCTATCACTGATATTCGGAGTTCGGATTATCGATACCAGACCTCTATCACTGATATTCGGAGTTCGGTCTGTCGATACCAGACCTCTGTCACTGATATTCGGAGTTCGGTCTGTCGATACCAGACCGCTACTACTGATATTCGGAGTTCGGTTTATCGATACCAGACCTCTATCACTGATATTCGGAGTTCGGTCTGTCGATACCAGACCTCTGTCACTGATATTCGGAGTTCGGTTTATCGATACCAGACCGCTACTACTGATATTCGGAGTTCGGTCTGTCGATACCAGACCTCTGTCACTGATATTCGGAGTTCGGTTTATCGATACCAGACCGCTACTACTGATATTCTGAGTTCGGTTTAACGATACCAGACCTCTGTCACTGATATTCGGAGTTCGGTTTATCGATACCAGACCGCTACTACTGATATTCTGATATTCGGAGTTCGGATTATCGATACCAGACCGCTATCACTGATATTCGGAGTTCGGTTTATCGATACCAGACCTCTGTCACTGATATTCGGAGTTCGGTTTATAGATACCAGACCGCTACTACTGATATTCGGAGTTCGGACTGTCGATACCAAATATTTTTGTTCAATGTTGATTTAATTTGAAGCCTTACGGCTCTATCATCGATGTTATTTCTGTACATCAGAACAAATTGGTTGGTTGGTTGGTTTGTTAGTTTAAAGGTTGGTTGGTTGGTTGGTTTAATGGTTGGTTGGTTGGTTTGTTGGTTGACATGTTTAACGTCCGCTTTCACCGATGTAATCAGTATTCAGCAGAAGGGGGTGCCCCGTGTCATCTCCTCCTCTAAAGAAACACGTTCTTTTAGACTATTGCACAGCATAACCCGAAGGTCTGTCGAAGCAACCTTCATCTGTCCAGGAACGTATAATGCAGAAAAATTGTTTGTCCCTTGCTTGTTTCAGTAATAAGTAGTGAAGATCCGAGGTATAACACGGCACTCCTTACCCATGCGGTTTGTGTTTCCCGGGAAGCTGGAAAACAGGCCTGTTTGTACTGTTATGTTCTTTCCTGTGACAATAATACACTTTTCCCAGTGCTCTGTATTGTACACGTCGTGCCGCTCTTCCCCTAAGTTGTCCTGTGATGAAGCAACCAGCTACTACAGCGGGACCTACTGTCATAATGACAATATCTGTTTTCGGATATTTTAGAGAAGACTGTTTTGTTTTATACAATTCGAACTCATGAATTCACTGGCCACTCGTGATATTTTATAACGTCATGTAGCGTTAGATATTCCGATCGTTGATAAAAAGCAGATAATCCGTTTGACTAAGGAGCCTTGTCAAAACTCCCGTTTGTTTGTACGATATTTCACTCGATGGTGCCCATTTATCGACGGTGAAGATGATGGACCGTACTGTTTTATAGGACTCTGGTGAAAAGGAACATCGGGGAGATTTCCAGATGGGATTCCGAATGATATTCAATTACAGATGGCACCGCTGTGCCCTGTGGTGGATAATATAGGAGAGGTATCGATGGCAATAATTGACCCCTCGCTACACCTAAACTGCACAGCTGGAAAAATTCTCGGAAGCTCTGCTCAAGCAATTTTCTGTGGAAATGACTTTTTCCATGGCCATTTTGTAAAATTACTTGATATCCGTGTATTTGATGGTGGATATAGATGAAAGGTGATGCTCCCTGCTGAAAGCCTTTTCGTGTGATGTACGGAGCATGTACTTAGGAAGGTTTGTTGCTGTAGAGACGGGAGATAAAGATGACGATGCTTTAGGAAACAGGCCGACAACGATAAATTGTGTGTGTGTGTATACACGATGTACATGTTATTCATACAAAAGCGTACTTAGGCCCCGACATAATTGTCCAGTTTGTGTATTGCAACACCACACTTGTGATTTCCTGTATTGTGTATTGATAGAATGACGCAAAAAACGATTAATTTCTAATTGTGTACTTGGAAAACCAACCTATATATGTATCCTGGAAACTCTGATATTTCACAACAAACTGTGGTCTTCCGCGGTACGGATGTCTCGTTCTCAACATATGCAGGTAACTGTACAGGTAAGTTAGTCATGTATTATACACGTATAATTTTTTGGTTTTGTTTAGTTTTTGTGTGGGTGTTGCATGTTTTACACACGGTAATGGGGTTTTCCACGCGTGGCCGCGTTATACACACACATGTGTTATACACGTGTTGTACATGTGTTCGTGGTGGCTATGTTAGAGATGTGATGTGGTGACACGGCGCAGAATATTAGATATTTTAAAGATATGGTCTGTCGACAGAATGTGATTGGCTTATAGTTATCAGTGGACATTTGTTTATATAGGTAAGTATACTGTGTGTCTCCGTTCTTAAATTACAGGTCATTGATGATAACTAAATTATCTATACTAAAGTATACACGCCTCTCAGTTATACTACAATGACAAAAATAAGTTTCGTGTTTGGAACATAATACGCGAAATGTTTTGATCACTACAGTCAAGTGATTTCCCTCTGGCGACATCTCCGGCACAGTGTGGACGTATATCCGCCTGTTGATATTTATGACCGACAAGTGGTATGAAATGTTGGACACACTAGAACTAGACGGTCATGGACACGCGCGTGTTCACAAGTTATACCGTAATAAGAATATGGAATTGTTTAGTTATTGTAAACAGTGGATTGGTATAAGAACTGGTTAGTTATTGTAAACAGTGGATCGGTATAGGAACTGGTTAGTTATTGTAAACAGTGGATTGGTATAAGAACTGTTTAGTTATTGTAAACAGTGGATTGGTATAAGAACTGTTTAGTTATTGTAAACAGTGGATTGGTATAAGAACTGTTTAGTTATTGTTAACAGTGGATTGGTATAGGAACTGGTTAGTTATTGTAAACAGTGGATCGGTATAGGAACTGGTTAGTTATTGTAAACAGTGGATTGGTATAAGAACTGGTTAGTTATTGTAAACAGTGGATTGGTATAAGAACTGGTTAGTTATTGTAAACAGTGGATCGGTATAGGAACTGGTTAGTTATTGTAAACAGTGGATTGGTATAGGAACTGGTTAGTTATTGTAAACAGTGGATTGGTATAGGAACTGGTTAGTTATTGTAAACAGTGGATCGGTATAGGAACTGGTTAGTTATTGTAAACAGTGGTTATAGGAACTGGTTAGTTATTGTAAACAATTGGTATTGGTACTAAAACAGATTGGTATAAGAACTGTTTAGTTATTGTAAACAGTGGATCGGTACAAGAACAACTTGACCTGTGTACGTGTAACCATTACAATAATCTTGGTAGGTTAATATTTTACACCGTAACGTGTTTAAATATGGTACTAAAAACGTCTTTTCTGAAAACCCCGGAGATCCGTCCGTTCAGTTTCCTGTAAGGAACCGTCATATAATTTCTCTTGTGTATCGGTACAGCTAGACTTATGCCAGCAAAGTGAAGCATGACGGCCTTCAGAGGAAATCGATATGTATGAATATCATGCTTGATGAATTCATACACTTAATAACTTCAATGGAAATATTTCTATGCGATTTTACCTATCAAGACACGAATCGTAAGGATTCCTGAGTGTTAGATATACTCAATGTTGTCTTCGAATGAGAAGCATCTTTAGAATTCCACGCATACCTTTCTGGATCAAGTGATGTAATAGATTGCTCTATTGTAGGAGAAAAGCTTTGTATACTAAAGTATTAAGAAGACGAATTCTCCACATGCATATACATCTATAATGAATTACATACATGGAGACACCGATTTCTTTATCAATTTGAAACCTTTTCTTAAAAATTATGTGGTTCTACTAAACTAATTTATTATGATTTTTTTATTACTATCATAAGTTATCAAAGACATCTACGACAGTTGAACTCACGAAAAAGCTCAGTATCCGCATCATGAAGGCGTTTTTTCAGGCGACAGTCGTCTTAAATTATTATTATTGTTATTATTATTATTTTTGGAAAAATTTAAACTTTTATTAATTGGAAAGTTAGAAATTGAAATATTGCATTTATAATTATTTCCCGGGGATAAATTATCATAATTATCTTTATCATTATTATAATTTGTTTCTAAAAAAAACATCGAGATACTGTGTATAGTAATCTGGATATTAACACATTTCTACGTCAAATGAATAATGCCTTGACTGAATTAAATTAATGTTTCAAAACTAAAGATCACCCTTGAAAACTCTGATGTTGAATCCACGAATTCAGAAAAATCGTCGTCAACACTATTGTTTACACGATCATTGGTCCCACAACCTGTACCATGTTACGTAATTGAAGATATGAGACTGCGTGAGCATTTCTCGTTAATTCACATTTTTTAGTAACGTTCGACTATTTATTGCGGAATTTGGTAGACTTATGTTCTTTGGTATACAGGGAAACGATCCTGTTTTAAACTATGATAATAACGATGCTGCTATCCCTAAAATATCGATACTTAGATATATCATTAACGGGCAATAAAATATATCTGTAACCGTACAATAAAGTCATGTCTATTTTTAACAATGACGACAAATAGCTATAAATAGACGAAACGTCATAGTTAAAAATAGACATGTTATTGTGCGGTTATATATATATTATTGCCATTTTAGACCTTTTAACAACATATAACTGAAAAATTAATGACATTTCAAAACATTAAATGAACTAAACTTCATTTAATTTAGACCGAATGGAAAGTGAAGTCAACTTCTTCCTTTAAACGATTTTTTTAAAAAACCGAAAGACTAAGTGTACTGATTTTTTTCTTGTAACATGCCAAGAAGAGCTACAAAGCTTGTTCAAATTAATGGACTCACCTACTTTCAATGTCGCAGATGTCAAATGTGCATAAATTTTTCAACAACTTTTCACATTAACTAAACAAACCTCAAGGTATTGATTTAGTTTCTTATCAGTTTAGGTTAAGGGTTACCAAGTTTGTTCAAATGAATGACATTCAAGGTCACAGGGATCTAATACGCTAAAATCTTCAAACGACTTCTCTATAACCAAAAGACCCAAGTATATCAGGATAGAGGGTTACGATGTTTGTTCAAATGAATGACATTGACCCACTGTCAAGTCATAGGGGTCAACCATGTTTGAATTTTTCAACGACATCCCATTAACCAACATGCCCTGGGTACTGATATTGGGCATATAACAAGCTGTGATGAAGGGCTATCAAGTTTGTTGAAATGTATTACCTTAACCAACTTTCAAAGTCAAAAGGGACGAAAGGGTTCGAATCTCCAAATAACAATTTTAGACAGCCATAGACCTGTTTATCAAGATATGGGTCACCACAGTCATTCATTAACCTTTGTTATATATATTCATACACATTGATAATGTTGAAGTATGTGTGATGTTATTTCTACGCGTAGCATTTACGGAAATGGTCTCCTGAAGACTTCCGGTTTTTGACGTCATCTTTCGGATCAAACGAAATATCAGTTTATGAAAAGAGTTAATATGGAAAACAATTTACGGAAAGGGACCAGATTTTCAGGATTTTGATTAATTCCTTGTTTAGAAATGCAGTTTGTGTATAATAGTTTGTATTCGCCAGTACTTAGCAGTATTATTTGACAACAGCACACGAACATGTCTCAAACTAACCAATGTAAATGATTCATACAAACAAGTTGAAACAACTGATCTATATAATGATATAATTGCTAACACCGTCTTTCCTTACCGGTCATTGAGTGAAGCTGTTGCATAGCCAAGCTCTTTGGGAAGCTGAAGTCAAAATGACCTTGTGATGATAGGTCTTTCAGAATGTCAAAAACTTATATATTGTGACGTATTTCACATTGTTTACGGAATTCAAAATGACCTTGTGATGATAGGCCTTTGAGAATGTCAAAAACTTATATACTGTGACGTATTTCACATTGTTTACGGAATTGTTCACATTTAAGATCCGGGTTCATGTTGTCTAGGTCTGTCTGGTTTGAGAGGGAGATATTAAACTTGGGCTGTGTCGTTGCTAATCGCCGAGGGGAAAAACAGACTGCCTTGACTGTACCATAAACATGATGGTGCACAGTCGACATCCCAAATTATTTCCGTAATTTGTTTCAAATTAAGCACAACCAAAACAACCGACCAGCACACGATAAATGTCGACAGATCAGCTCAGGTTAAACCAGCAAATCTATAGCACATGTTTTCCTTATCGTGTCAAAAACGTACAGCGCACGTTGCTTATAGTGCAGTATTGTGGATACTTTCATTGTGACAACGGTTTTCAATTCTGGTTAAATCGCTTAATTTTCACCTAACTCTTGTCCCATACTTGTTTCTAAAATGTGAAATTACAGTCGAAACTCGTTATCTCGAACTCGTATGATTCGAAGACCTCACCCGTTTAATTCGAAGTATTCCGTTGGTCATGACCAAAGTTCGCACTGAACATTCTAAATCACGTAAATCGAATACTTGGATAACTCGAAGTTTTCCAACAAGCCCAGCGACTTAAAGGTAATGGAAGTTCCAATCTACAGAAATATAGAATGGCTCTTGAAGGATGCTCGTCATTTGTTTATATCGTGTTGATATAAGTGTAAGTGGCGAGAGAGAATATATCCGGATGTATTATTTAGTTCTGTTTAAAGTCCACGACCTTGAACGCATTGGTCCTGAAATACCACGCAGGTACTCAAATGTACGAACCAAACACGCTGTGCTGATGGCGGGTTCCGCCAGCTGTGATACATGAGCACGTGCTAATGATATTTACATTACATTCCGTACGCACGTGCCTGTTAATGTATAAAGCAGCTAGACAAGACGCTCGTGCTGGGACCAATTAGTTCAATTATAACACATTTATGTATCTAGATCTGTATGTACAATCTCTGCAATCTACCACCTTTGTCAAAGCACCAGAGTGAATTCCTCCCATGGCGGCTGACAAAGGGAAGCGGAAGTGCAATGCATTTTGGGAGGTATTGACTTAATACTTTGCAAATCAAAAGTTGAATAAAACAGATATTGGTTGCGTTTGCTGTGAGCGAATAAGATGTCTTTTTTGAAAATAATTTACTTGTCAATTCCAACCGAAAATTCTGGATATAAGTAGTCGAAAGCTCAGCTTATATTTGATTTTGTGTTGGACGTGCCATCTTAAAGTATTTCAGTGTCGTTATATTAAAATTCCGATATATTTTTCAGTCATTGGAGAGTTTTTTTTTAGAGGGATATCTATAAGTTTTATTTTACAAGATTTCCTTTACCTATGTTTTCTACGCACGTTACTATATGTGAACAACCTGCCTTTTAACGACAAAACTTATATAATGTAAATGTTTTTTTTTTCTCGCAGTTGCTAAATATGCCGCACTCGAGAGAAATGAAATACTTGAAGTAATCAGGGAGCACATTGTTTTGTTTTAGATCATTACAACAACCGATTTATAATAGCTCAAACACCTGACACCATAGACATACCCGCTCACAGCCATGCTACTCGTTGCTGCAAAGTGTCTAGGAGGGCGTATGTGGATACTGCCTATTCTCACCTTTATCTGGATTTTTGGGTCATGTGTTGTGACGTAAGTATGACATCACTTCCGGTTATATCTTAATATAAGTGAATATGACCATTAAATGTAAATGGAAGTTGATATTAGTAGGTAGACGGATGATCATGTTCAGTGCTATTTCCTGATATCCACAAAACCTCAGTTGTCTACTGATGGGTTATAATACACGTACTTGTATAGAAAATTTTGAAAATAAACTCAAGTCTAAGTTAAATGGTCTTTCTTGATCAAATCGAACGTGTTTATCAGTTTACATTATTAGCTCTAAATTATCTTTAGATACAAATTCCGTCCACAGAGATCTTATAAGTGATTATTAGCTGACGTTATAAACTATAAAGATTTCAATGAAAATAATAATATAAAATAAAAAATCGCTCACTGTTAACTTCAAGTCAAGACTCCCATTACCACTACAGGTGGATAAAGACTTTTGTGATTGGAAAGGAGGGGGTTTGGGTTGTTTCCATATCCGAGGCGACATGCGAAGTTCAGAGAGGGGATGGGGTTAGGATGGGGATGTCTCTCAACATCTGTTTGCATACACTCTCTTGTATCAATATAAAACACACATTGACAATAAGTTGGGTTTACTACAGGTACGCGATTGCCGTGGCCAATAACCACACGTTTCCGGATTTCCCATATATCAGGTAAGCTGTCACACTACCAATAAAGCAGATTCCTGTCACCACATACAGCTCGTCACACTACCAATAATACAGATTTCTGTCACCACATACAACTCGTCACACTACCAATAATACAGATTTCTGTCACCACATACAGCTCGTCACACTACCAATCGTCACACTACCAATAATACAGATTTCTGTCACCACATACAGCTCGTCACACTACCAGCAAAACAGATTTCTGTCACCACATACAGCTCGTCACACTACCAATAATACAGATTTCTGTCACCACATACAGCTCGTCACACTACCAGTAAAACAGATTTCTGTCACCACATACAACTCGTCACACTACCAATAATACAGATTTCTGTCACCACATACAACTCGTCACACTACCAATAATACAGATTTCTGTCACCAGATACAACTCGTCACACTACCAATAATACAGATTTCTGTCACCACATACAGCTCGTCACACTACCAGTAAAACAGATTTCTGTCACCACATACAACTCGTCACACTACCAGTAAAACAGATTTCTTTCACCACATACAACTCGTCACACTACCAGTAAAACAGATTTCTGTCACCACATACAACTCGTCACACTACCAGTAAAACAGATTTCTTTCACCACATACAACTCGTCACACTACCAGTAAAACAGATTTCTGTCACCACATACAACTCGTCACACTACCAGTAAAACAGATTTCTGTCACCACATACAACTCGTCACACTACCAGTAAAACAGATTTCTGTCACCACATACAACTCGTCACACTACCAGTAAAACAGATTTCTGTCACCACATACAACTCGTCACACTACCAATAATACAGATTTCTGTCACCACATACAGCTCGTCACACTACCAGTAAAACAGATTTCTGTCACCACATACAACTCGTCACACTACCAGTAAAACAGATTTCTGTCACCAGATACAACTCGTCACACTACCAGTCGTCACACTACCAGTAAAACAGATTTCTGTCACCAGATACAACTCGTCACACTACCAATAATACAGATTTCTGTCACCAGATACAACTCGTCAAACTACCAATAAAACAGATTTTCTGAAAGTGTGTGCATCATTGAATTACATTCAACTTATTTCAAAAATGAAGATTCTAAATAAAATTTGATTCCTTTTATAGACAGAGAAATTGTACAGTTATGAGTGCAACGAATTTTAAATTATTTACTGACATATTGAGTCTAAGGTAGGTAAGAACTCTTTAAGTACACTGTGGACGTGATGAAATCTCCTTAACACTGATTATAACTTGTTGTAGCTATACTGGAGTAAAGCCTCCCGAGCGAGGAATCTTCACAATCACCATTGCTACAGGGGCAGTATTTCGTAAGTGTAATTATTTAACTCATCTCCCCGAAGAGCAAGTGATCTGATGCCATTGCGCGTCATCTGTTGATATAACAAAAAGGCACAGGATCGTGATATTGGGCCTCAAGCATACTGGAAAAAAGGGCTGGAGTTTTGTTAAGATAATGACATTGATAACTCACAATTTGTGAAGAACTTTTCTTCTTTCCAATAACCAATAGTCCCCGTGTCATTGTATATGTGTATTAACAAGCTTGAGAAATTTAACTGATGATGTCGATTCAGGCTTATTGAGCCATACTTTTCAAATTGTCTTTACATTATAAACTTACTTTTTTCTAAATCAGAGAAATGTCCTATCGGATATATATATATATACATTTGATTAAAGGGTTCGTTGGCAACTGTATTGAAGCATTGCTGAATCGTTTAATATTAAAATAATCAGTCTGTAGAAAGAAATATAGCGACATTAAAATAAAAGGAAATGAGGACAGAAGAACAGAGGAATATTTCGATTCTTGATCAGCGTCAGTTTCATTGCCTCTCTGATGAAAACCTACATATTCTTTTCTTAAATTAAAAGAAATATATATATATACATATATATTATAAGAATATAAGATAGTACATGTACCATTAACCAACATTAACATTTGATATTATTTTTGTACCAGTTGCCGCTAATGCCGAGATGCAGTATCTTTTTATCAAGAAGCTCTTAATGCAATACCGCCCCGTAGAATCCTTTAATCTAAAAAGATGGTTGAACACCAACCGAGCAGGACTAATTCTTGGAATGGTTTCCGGTTTGGGCTTACTTTTTGTGGCCTGTTTTCAGGTAAAATTATTTATCTATGAGTAACCATACGGAACATCTTCGTTCTTAATAAAAGCAAAGGTAGCCTATAACTTTATAAAAATCAAGACACCACTTCCGGTGACAGTACTTGATGATATACCGACCGACACTTCTTCCGGTGATATACCGACCGACACTTCTTCCGGTGATATACTGACCGACACTACTTACGGTGATATACCGACCGACGCTACTTACGCTGATATACCGACCACACTAATTACGATGATATACCGACCGACACTACTTCCGGTGACATACCGACCGACGCTACTTACGCTGATATACCGACCACACTAATTACGGTAATATACCGACCGACACTTCTTACGGTGATATACCGACCGACACTTCTTACGGTAATATACCGACCGACACTACTTCCGGTGACATACCGACCGACGCTACTTACGCTGATATACCAACACACTAATTACGGTAATATACCGACCGACACTTCTTACGGTGATATACCGACCGACACTTCTTACGGTAAAATACCGACCGACACTTCTTACGGTGATATACCGACCGACGCTACTTACGCTGATATACCGACCACACTAATTACGATGATATACCGACCGACACTACTTCCGGTGACATACCGACCGACGCTACTTACGGTGACATACCGACCGACACTACTTCCGGTGATATACCGACCGACACTACTTACGCTGATATACCGACCGACGCTACTTACGGTGATATACCGACCGAAGCTACTTACGTTGACATACTGACCGACGCTACTTCCGGTGATATACCGACCGACACTACTTACGCTGATATACCGACCGACGCTACTTACGGTGACATACTGACCGACGCTACTTACGGTGATATACCGACCGACACTACTTCCGGTGACATATAGACCGACACTACTTACGCTGATATACCGACCGACGCTACTTACGGTGACATACTGACCGACGCTACTTACGGTGACATACTGACCGACGCTACTTACGGTGACATACAGACCGACACTACTTACGCTGATATACCGACCGACGCTACTTACGCTGATATACCGACCGACGCTTCTTACGTTGACATACAGACCGACGCTACTTACGGTGACATACAGACCGACACTACTTCCGGTGATATACCGACCGACACTACTTACGCTGATATACCGACCGACGCTACTTACGGTGATATACCGACCGACACTACTTACGGTGACATACAGACCGACGTTACTTACGGTGATATACTGACCGACGCTACTTACGGTGATATACCGACCGACACTACTTACGGTGACATACAGACCGACGTTACTTACGGTGACATACAGACCGACGCTACTTACGGTGATATACCGACCGACTCTACTTACGGTGATATACCGACCGACGCTACTTACGGTGATATACCGACCGACTCTACTTACGGTGATATACCGACCGACACTACTTACGGTGATATACCGACCGACATCACTTACGGTGTTATACAGACCGACCCTGCCTATGGTGATATACCGACTTATACCGACCGACCCTGCCTACGGTGAAACACCGACTTATACCGACCGACACTACTTACGGTGATATACCGATCGACACTACTTCCGGTGATATACCGACCGACACTACTTTCGGTGGTATATCACCCGACACTACTTACGGTGATGTATCACACGACACGAATTCCGGTGATGTACCGACCGACACTTCTTCCGGTGATATACCGACGTCTGATGGTATACCGGATATCTCTTATCATAATTGAGGGATTTTATATATGTTTTCTATAGTGCTTAGTTATAAGATGACACATGACCCTTAGTTATTCAGGCTTGTGTTAATCTTGAATTTTGTGTTCTGTGAACTTTAGATCTTCAAGTATTTCCAAACATGATTTTAGGTGAAAATGATGTATGTTACACAGATTCTATTTCATTATGATAATAGTTAGTGGTTTTACCAGATGTGTTAGGGGAATGGCAGAAAAATGTGAAACAAGTTAGATACTTAGAAAGAAAAAATAACCAATCAAATACTGGTATTCTGCAGGTAGACACGATGAAGCCGCCTCATTACGCAGGCGCATTCCTGTGCTTTGGGGCTGGCATGGTGTACGCCTGGGTCCAAGTCGTCATCACGTGGAAGATACGTCAGTTCGACGTCATACAGCAGCAAGGCAGGCAGCGGTTCTTGGCAGCACAGATCAGCCAAATAGTGACCAGTGTGTTATCTACAATTCTTTTCGTTACGTGTATCCTTCGACAAGGTCATAAAATCTCCTCATACGGCGTTAACAGGTCGGGTTTATCGATTGTACTTCCAAAGATATTGAAATATAAATAGCTATTACACTGTTATATATGTACCTTAATAACCGAGTCATTGCTAAATAATACACGAGATGTGTTCACTCTCATAACACAGTCCTAATAGTCCAAAATGTCTCAAATTACTCGGGACTCCTCAGATGTTTTCGTCTACATTACATACTATGCCTACAAAGGCAATCCCAAACTTGCAATGATGCGTCATTGTAGCAAAAACAATATGTACGTAAGTTAGGTTCCCTTAACACTGATAAGTTGCTGTCTCCAAGACTAAGTACAACAAGGCCCGAGATGCAGGACTCGGAACCAAATGGGTGAGTATACGTATTTATCACTTAGTAGGTGCGTCTTCAAAATTTGACCAAGGGGAAGGGAGATAACTGTATATTGTGTCAGTAATTGGCAGATATTGTTGAGCAATAATTTGATGTATTTCAATCAATTATGTTTCAAGCTTCGTGGCATTTAAAGTTGTCATGTTAACCATTATTGTTTACAGGACACACTACGCCCTGTGTTCCTGGTCTCTACAATATCAGAATGGCTACTGACATTATCAGTAACATTGTTCCTGCTCACATTCATACCAGGCTTCCGCATGTTCTCAAACACGCGCATCGAAATCGACTTCAATGTAAGTATTTACACTGACGTGTCATCACTGTAAATAACCACATTTATATGTCACTCCCCTGTAAGTATTTACACTGACGTGTCATCACTGTAAATAACCACATTTATATGTCACTCCCCTGTAAGTATTTACACCGACGTGTCATCCCTGTCAATGTTTACATTTACATGTCACTCCTCTGTAACTATTTACACTGATGTGTCATCTCTGTCAATATTCACATTTACATATCACTCCTCTGTAACTATTTACACTGATGTGTCATCTCTGTCAATATTCACATTTACATATCACTCCTCTGTAACTATTTACACTGATGTGTCATCTCTGTCAATATTCACATTTACATATCACTCCTCTGTAACTATTTACACTGATGTGTCATCTCTGTTAATATTAACATTTATATGTCACTCCCCTGTAACTATTTACATTGATGTGTCATCTCTGTCAATATTCACATTTACATATCACTCCTCTGTAACTATTTACACTGATGTGTCATCTCTGTCAATATTCACATTTACATATCACTCCTCTGTAACTATTTACACTGATGTGTCATCTCTGTCAATATTCACATTTACATATCACTCCTCTGTAACTATTTACACTGATGTGTCATCTCTGTCAATATTAACATTTATATGTCACTCCCCTGTAAGTATTTACACTGATGTGTCATCTCTGTCAATATTCACATTTACATATCACTCCCCTGTAAGTATTTATTCACATTTACGTATCGCTCCCATGTAAGCATTTATACTGACGCGTTGTTTGATGTTAGTCTCAGTCGCTCAGGTGCTTTAATTTTTCATTTCTTGCCTCTTGTGTTTCAGCCTGTTAATGACGGTGCACGTGTAGAGAATAGAAACGGAGAACATATCGTTTTGGTGGACAAGGTGGAAGCCCCCCAAAATGGGACGTGATTCATTCAGACTTAATCTTGGGTTTTAGATTTATTTGATAAATATTTGATATGTTGCTCTTTTGGCAGTTTGATCTTATGTCGGTGATAATTTACATGTGTATAACTGGTTATGGATTGTGATGCCTTACTTGTCAATATAAACCCAGAGTTTTCTCTGATTCCTACACCAGACCCTGTCTGTCATTGTCTATCAAAATGATAGCCATCTGGTAGGAGACAGAGAAAAGTCGGGCTACCATAAACACTGCCTTGATTAGTCATGTATATCTGTTGTGGTCTATGTTTTGATAAAATCGGTTTCATCAGGCAGGGATACTGTATTGTAATAACCTGCAACATTGCACCAAATGTCACGAACAAGGGGAGATAAATGCAGTTATCCGTTATTTTTTAATGTTTCATTGCTGTAAAATTATTTGAAAATGTCTTAATCTACTTGAAGATACAAGATTTTCTCAGAAACCCAGCTATCTACCTCTTGAATCGTCTCATGTTTTATCACAAACAGTATGACTGAGAAACGGTTGGATTGTACGTTGAATTACACAATAGGATTAGCTTTAACCGAGTTAAGGGAATCCGGTAGTTCCATTTGTATAACTATAAATACATGTATGGTGTTGTTTTATATTTTTATTAGTTCCGGTGGTCAGTGTGCTATCAAATGTTTTATATTTTTATATGAATTATGACCACGTGTAAGAATAAACGATTTCTGTGTTATTACATAATGATCATCATTTAATAAGGACATGTATCTGTGTGAACTCTAAATTGAGGGGAATCTTTAGCCATTTGCAATTTATTAGTGGTCTTACAGTACAGACCACAACAATCACGTGGAGGGTTAAGAAAACAACTGAATTCACATTTCTTTCGTCTGTTATTGTATTACATACAGCAGCAGTTCTTTTTTAAATTACGAAAATATATTTTAAGAATCTCTTAAATCATACAGAATACTTGTATATATGTCTGTATATGTCTTAATGTTTCATTCGACAAACACATAAATACTATTCATCTCTGTCGTTGTCCGCCTCCTTCAATGCCTTATAAACATTTGATTAAAGTACCCATTTTGTAGTAATCGTGAGAGAGATAGGGATGGAGAGAGAGAGAGAGAGAGAGAGAGAGAGAGGGAGGGGGGGGGAGAAAGGTGGGGTGTTTCCATGTAACAGATTTCCCTTGCTTCGCTTCTCGATGTCAGACGGCATACTGCTATGCACATTTTCCATTTGCATTTATAAAACTTTAACTTTTGTTTACAGTTTTCATATAATGACAATATATACGTAGATAATACCTGCATTTATTGTAAAGTCACTAATGCTGACTTTTAGTCTAGATTATCTTTAGTCTTATTAAAATGTTATATATGACACTTTGTAAATGTTGCGAAGTGCGTGTTCATTTGATGCTAGGTCTGGTTTATTTGTACTGCAAACGTTGATGTTTAAATAAAAGTTTAAATAAAAGTTAATATGATGCTTGTTAAGAGTTTTTTTTATATTAAAACTAACAAACCTTACAGCTTTATATTTTTATGTGTGGATCACTATTCTACATGGAAACAAAAATCTGTATCCATTGTGTCCGGCCGACCGGACTGGTGTCTCAGAAAAATGAGTTTGGGAGAAGGGGGGGAGCGACTGAACTGGTGTCTCAGAAAAATAAGTTGGGAGGGCGAGTGTCGAGGTGGTTTGTGAAGGAGTTTGTCCTCGGGTAACACACTTCGCTTGTGTTGCCAAGGGTGACCTGTGACGGGCCTCACGAATTTTTGTCAGTGAGGTAGACTACAGCAACTTCAAAGAGGCCTCACCTCAAGATATCCACGGAGCGATAAACCAGCAAACAAATAAATTTCTCAGGAAGGGGTCAGCCCTGCCGCTATCCCGTTATACTGAACTCTCTGTTGACTTCCGGTTATTGGGCATTAACGATACTAAATTTGGCCCTCTGTTCAAATTATAGGATCTCATTGCTTCTTGCTGTGTCGGCGACCTTGAATGACGTCATTCGGTGAATAGGGTCGTGAATAACAAACAAATTGTAGTGCTTACCATTAAGTGGTTTATATAGATCACCTAGCTTTTATCTGCAGATTTCAACCTATTCCTGTGAACGTGTTATATAAACAAAAACAAAACTCATCATTAAAAGAAGTTTTTTCACTTTATAGTCGGGGACGCTTTATCGTCGGGGACGCTTTTATCGTCGGGGACGCTTTATCGTCGGGGACGCTTTATCGTCGGGGACGCTTTATCGTCGGGGACGCTTTATAGTTGTGGACGCTCTATCGTCGGGGACGCTTTATCGTCGGGGACGCTTTTATCGTCGGGGACGCTTTATCGTCGGGGACGCTTTATCGTCGGGGACGCTTTTATCGTCGGGGACGCTTTATCGTCGGGGACGCTTTATCGTCGGGGACGCTTTATAGTTGTGGACGCTCTATCGTCGGGGACGCTTTATAGTTATGGACGCTCTATCGTCGGGGACGCTTTATAGTTGTGGACGCTTTATCGTCGGGACGCTTTAATAGTTGTGGACGCTTTATCGTCGTGGACGCTTTATAGTTGTGGACGCTTTATCGTCGGGGACGCTTTTATAGTCGAGGACGCTTTATCGTCGGGGACGCTTTATAGTTGTGGACGCTTTATCGTCGGGGACGCTTTTATAGTCGTGGACGCTTTGTCGTCGGGGACGCTTTATAGTTGTGGACGCTTTATCGTCGGGGACGCTTTATCGTCGGGGACGCTTTATAGTTGTGGACGCTTTATCGTCGGGAACGCTTTATAGTTGTGGACGCTTTATCGTCGGGGACGCTTTTATAGTCGGGGACGCTTTATCGTCGGGGACGCTTTATAGTTGTGGACGCTTTATCGTCGGGGACGCTTTTATAGTCGTGGACGCTTTGTCGTCGGGGACGCTTTATAGTTGTGGACGCTTTATCGTCGGGGACGCTTTATAGTTGTGGACGCCTTATCGTCGGGGACACTTTATAGTTGTGGACGCTTTATCGTCGGGGACGCTTTATAGTTGTGGACGCTTTATCGTCGGGGACGCTTTATAGTTGTGGACGCTTTATAGTTGTGGACGCCTTATCGTCGGGGACACTTTATAGTTGTGGACGCTTTATCGTCGGGGACGCTTTATAGTTGTGGACGCTTTGTCGTCGGGGACGCTTTATAGTTGTGGACGCTTTATCGTCGGGGACGCTTTATAGTTGTGGACGCTTTATAGTTGTGGACGCTTTATAGTTGTGGACGCCTTATCGTCGGGGACACTTTATAGTTGTGGACGCTTTATCGTCGGGGACGCTTTATAGTTGTGGACGCTTTATCGTCGGGGACGCTTTATAGTTGTGGACGCTTTATAGTTGTGGACGCTTTTATAGTTGTGGACGCTTTATCGTCGGGACGCTTTAATAGTTGTGGACGCTTTATCGTCGTGGACGCTTTATAGTTGTGGACGCTTTATCGTCGTGGACGCTTTATAGTCGTGGACGCTTTATAGTTGTGGACGCTTTATAGTTGTGGACGCTTTATCGTCGTGAACGCTTTATAGTTGTGGACGCTTTATCGTCGGGGACACTTTATAGTTGTGGACGCTTTATCGTCGGGGACGCTTTATAGTTGTGGACGCTTTATAGTTGTGGACGCTTTATCGTCGGGGACACTTTATAGTTGTGGACGCTTTATCGTCGGGGACGCTTTTATAGTTGTGGACGCTTTTTCGTCGGGGACGCTTTGATAGTCTGGGACGCATTAAAGTCGGGGGCCCTTGATAGTCAGAAAATCATCATACGATAAAAGTCCGATGCTTCGGTTTCGAAATCGATGACGTTTCTTTTTTCCTTTCTTTCTTAAAATGATCACTGAATATCTAATTATTTGAACATGTGCTTCAGTGTTTATATCGTATGTTAATGAAATAACAGAAAATGAAATGGGAATTCACACACTATTGAATAGTTTCAAATTCCAAATTCTGTCTTCTAAGGAATACCTTTGACTGGTTACCGGTGGTCAGTATCTGACGCATTTTCTTTTCTGGCGCTTTTCCTGGATTATGTGATTTTTTGTGCAAAAAAATGTCGGCAATTTTGTTTGTTTGGATTTTTTTCCGTCTTGCAGATAGGGGTATGGTCAAGGTCCACAGTACAGTCTTGTAAATAATGAGTTCGAGAGTTCGTTTATGCTTAATATTTTGTCCTGGAACATTGAAGGATTGTTGTGTAAACTTGCAAATAATTTAGACAATATCATGATTCGTGACTTAATAGCAAAATATGATATTATAACATTTGTGGACACTTTCCAGAAATCTTCAGAGTCTTTTGCCGCGGTGTTTGATAACTTTGTTTCCTTTGAAATGCCCAGAGCATCTGCATCGGCGAAAGTTGCAGGTGGAGTATCCATGTTTATAAAGGATGACTTGGCTAAAATAAGCAGACGCATACTACAAAATTATGCTGAGATGGTGTGGGTAAAGATTGACGTGTGTGAGCTGGGCCACAAAAATAATATCATTGTTGGGGGTGTGTATATCCCTCCGGAGGGTTCAGTATTCTATAATGACAAAGCATACAATTGTAATCTATCGATGCTGGAGTCCGCCTTGGAAAAAATCCATGGTAAATTCCCAAATGACGACATTATCATCATGGGAGATATGAACGCAAGGACAGGTGATCTAGATGTGTTGCCTGACAGTTCAAAATACATCCCAGGCCTAGAGAATGCAAGTCCATTTAATGATGAAAACGACATCTCAAATGTCCCTAAGCGGCATAATCATGATAGTCATAAAAACAACTTTGGCAAAGCTCTTGTTGAATTGTGTTGTACAAATGATATGTTTATAGTAAATGGTAGAGTACTACCTATTGATAATTCAGGTAGCCTGACTTACTTAAGTTCAACAGGTGCTAGTTTTATTGATTACTTCCTATGTAACTGTAGTCTTCTGTCGTCCATAGTAGCAATGGAAGTCTTTGACTGTGACATATCAAAACACTTCTACAGGCGGCGGGTAATTCCTGTAACTTAAGATGTGGTACTAAACAAGTATCTAGGGCTCAGCCGAAATGGTTTGACAAAACATGTGAGGACCTAAAAGTACAGAAATATAGGCTTCTAAACAAATTTAGAAAAACAAGGTCAGGAGAGGATCTCCAAAGCTATATTCTTGTGAAACGGGAATTTAAAAATGTTTGTAAAGAAAAACAAAAAACCCACAAAAACAAACTCCAGGACGACCTAGCTGAAGCATGTGATTCTAGAAACCCCTCAAGATTCTGGTCATTGGCGAAAAACGTGATTCGTAAAGGGTCCTCTACCAAAAACAGTATTAGTGGTGATCAGTGGTTTAACTATTTAAAAGAGCTGCTAAACCCTCCGTCAGATGAAGTACTACCAGAAGGTGATGGCCTTCAAGTACAAAACGTTGTCAGAAGAAATATTGACTGTTCATTGTTAAATGAAGACATAACCCTAGACGAAATCAAGGTGGCCTCACGTAAAATGAAAAACGGTAAATCCCCTGGGGAGGATGTCATTCCCGTAGAATTCTATAAGTTTGCTTTAGATGCCTTATTACCTGTTTTACATAAACTGTTCAAAAAGTTACTAACCAAAGGTTTAATTTCCCGGAGAGGTGGTCGAGTAGTATTATATTACCCATCTACAAGAAAGGGGACCCTAATAATCCAGGTAACTATAGGGGAATATCTTTACTAAATGTCATAAGTAAGATTTTCACTTCTATTATCAATAGTAGACTTCAAACTTGGTCAGAAACGTATGGCACCGTTGCTGAAGAACAAGCTGGTTTTAGGCGCGGCTACTCCACCATTGACAATATATTCAGTCTAAATAGTCTGGTCGAGAAATACTTATCGAAAAAGGGGGGAGTTTTCTATTGTGCATTCATAGATTTTAGAAAGGCCTTCGACCTAGTGAATAGATCCAAGCTGTTATTGGTCCTCCAGAGCCACAACTTTCAAGGTCCTATCCTTTATATTCTTAAGAGCATGTATCAGAAGGTCAAGGCTAAGGTCAAGGTCGGTGAATATTTGTCAAAAGAGGTGGTATGCAACTCCGGTGTAAAACAAGGTTGTAT